GTCACTGGGGACTTCACCTGACTGCCATGACTTTTCAAATGTCATAGAGAGTGGCTTGGTGACTACATCAGCCAGTTCTCTCAGGACTCTGGGATGCTTCTCATCAGATCCCATAGACTTATGGATCTCCAGTTCCTGTATGCCCCTGTCATTTGGCCGAGTTGAGTACTTGTTTTGAGCAACTCAGTAATAAATCTAAGAAAGATAATGGCTGGCTGGTCTCAGTAAGTGCCCTTTGACTTTAAAATTTGCTTCCTTTACAAGTCCTGAATCAACACTGTGTGAACTGAAGGGCAAGGACCTTCCTCAGCGTCTACCTGTGAAACCAGCTGTGACCAGGGGCTGTATTTATTTGCTGAGATGGTGAAATGACATCCTTCCCCTTTGATTAAATGGAGATTGAATGATCTGAGATCCACATGGACCCTGAGAATAGTGTGCTTAGGCACACTGCACATAAAAATAAACCTGTAACTCCCTGTTACATTTTTCCAAGTTTCTGAGGACATAAATAATCTTGTTAGGGAGAAGAAAGAGTGGGAAGGAGGTTAATCTGTCATTAGACAAATTGAACTTGTGAAAATTGTGTGAAAGATACCTAGCAACTGGTGGATTGTCAGGAATCTCGCCCAGCGAAGTCCTCTGGGTCCATGCTCTCACAGCTGCCCTGTATTCAGGACACTTGGCCAGTTTTCCAAAGATGAGGCGCCTGTGTGACTTACCTGGTTTGGGTTTTTGTACCTAGAGAGTAAGTGTTAAGCCTAAATTTGCTCTATATTTAGAAATGCAGAAGAAATACACCAGTTGGGATGTGTTTCCAGCTTCAGTGTCCGGAACGAGCTCAGAACAAGCATCGCTCTGTAGGAGCACAGTGTCCCCATTTCAGGTAGTGCATATATAATTTTTTTCTGTTGTTTGTGTTCTTTTGTACGGATACATGAATTAGGGCTTAATTACTTACTTTTAAATGCTGATAACCGTAATTTTAGTCTCTTCATGCTTTGGTGATAGGGCAGTGTCAGATGTTTTTTGCAGACTTGAGAAGGTGATTTGGTTATGCCTTGCAGAATTGGGTGGGAAGCAGCGGAGAAGTGCTTTTCCCAGATGTGCTGAGAGGGATGCTGAACAAATGTTTTCTGTGAGTATGAATTTCTCATGGAGCTTCTGGAAATATATTTCACTGTTGTTTTAATTGTTGTGATAATCTAGTGGATCTATGTTTTGACTGAGAGCCTGGATTGAGCACTGAGGCTCTGCCAAGTGGCAGCTCTGGTACAGAAGAGGTAGCGTCTCCCAAAAAGCTCTGGGAGGGCTTTGTGAAGCAGAGAGGCTTTGTTTTGATGGAGGAATACATTACTGAATCTCATTGCACGATCCAGCCCATTTCCCTCCTTCCTGTGTGCCTTGCTAGAAAGAGAGGAGGAGGACGAAGCTGGAGTTGCTCCCACTTCTATTGCTCTCCAAGTTCATTTGTCTGCAGAGAAAGGATCTATTCAGGTAGTTCCTGCTGCAACCTGCTCCCTGGGCTGGACTGGCCTTGCTTGAGGGAGCCAGGAAGTAAGTGCCTTTGCAGGGAATGGGTATGATGGAAAGACAGAAATTATCCCTCAGATTTAAGCTAATGAAATAAACCCTTTTCTTAAAGAACCAATGTATGGCTTCTGGGTCTCTGCCTAGGTGAGCTTATTCTTTTGTGTGCAAAGAAGCTGATAGAGATCAAGTTTGTACACGTTTCTGAAGCTCTGTTTCACTTTTCTAACACTAAGCTTTAACAATTGCTACGAAACATAATAATCCAGGGTAGGGTGGAGTAGACTAGACTAGACTAGACTAGTTTCAGTTGGAAGGGACATCCAACGATCATCTAGTCCAACTGCCTGACCACTTCAGGGCTTACTGAAAGTTAAAGCATATTGTTAAGGGCATTGTCCAAATGCCTCTTAAGCACTGACAGGCCTGTGGCATTGACCACCTCTCTAGGAAGCCTGTTCCAGTGTTTGACCAAAGTAGTTGTGGCACTGAAATTTTGTTTTATTTACAATGTATATATTTTTCAACACTTTGAGTATTAGTCTTTCCAGGCTGTTCTTATATGGCATGGGACACCCTAATTTTTTTCCTTTTTCTTCTTCTAATGAAGTTCTCTGCATCAATCCCTTCCCTAGACCTTCATGTGACAAATGCTGGGGTGTATCATCCCTGGCAGAAGTTTTGGCCCAAAGCTCTTCAATGTGTTGGTCAAAGCTGTGGAAGAAATGTACAGTCGTTGCTAGTAAGATTGGCTGCTTTCAGTACAACAGTGGATTGCCTGTGTGCAGAGCTGATAGCATGGTAGCATGGTAAAGTCAATGCCCGTGGGTGATCCATGTTTAAATGCAGCTAAAGGCAAGGTCATACATCCAAAACCAGAGTGCAGAGAACTCTGCAAAGAACTAAATAAGCTGGCAGACTTTTCTGTCATCTCCTCTTCCTCCTTCTCCAGCCTGAAAGGCTGCATTTTGGTCTGGCTCAGGAGCTGGAAGAATCCTTCTGCCTTTTCCAGTTGCAGAGTCTGGAGGAGGCTCACAACATGCATCCTTTTCTCCAAGTAATTTTCTACACAGGAATTTTCTAGAAGGGACTGCAGGTGGTCTTTATTTGAAGAAAAAAATATAATTAAATAGTTCTTGTAACAAAGTTGGCTTCACACAGAGGAAATGAACAGCGTGCTAATTACAGTGCTGTCTCACTGCAGTTTGCTTCACAGCTATGAAATGAATCAGGAAGGCACCCTTGATGTGTGCATAGCCATAGACAGGGACACCTCTCGCGGCAGCCATAAAAGCATCCTCAGAGTTCAGTGGTATTTTTGTTTTCATGTGTGTAATGAACGGGCCTCTGCCAGCAATGTTTGGAGGGAAGTGCAAGGTAAGTCATAAGAGTGGGAAAGGCTGTTCTGCCAAATAAACATTTGTGCCAGCAGTGCAAATGGATTGTGGGTGCAGCTATCTCCATCAGAATTACATCTGTTTGTGATATTGTCTAGCTGCATTACAGCATCTTTTTTTTTTTATTAGTGCATATATATATATGAGGATGTAGGCAGATGGAAGCTACATATGCAACATATTGTCTAATAATTATATTAACTGTACAGTAACTATATTAAAATCTAAAAAAAAAAAGATTTTGCAAATGTAGGAAAGGAATTGATCAAACATAGTATGAGGTTCTTTCTGGTTTCACTGTCCTATGAATTCCATTTCTTTAGCAGTATATAGATCCATAATGCGTTTATTGGAAGTATTGCTTTACATTCAAACCTGGCATTAAATAGATGTAATTCTGTGCTAAGGGAAGACTGTGCTGAAGGAAGTGGTGCTTAAATATTCAGGTTTAAATGTAGTATTTGGTACATTTAGAACAGCCATGGCGTTCTGTTTAGCACAAATTATTTAATTTTTTCTGTGTCTTTTCCAAAGGTTGTCTAGCATATCTTACTCTATAAAGATCAAAGCTTGGAGGTTGGTATTAAGGTGTCTCCAAAGTACAGTAAGTATGCCTTCCCAAACACAGGCTAAGATAGGCTCTGCCATGTGTAGATCTGAAGCCAGGGTGAAGGCTGTAGCTCAGAGGAGAGGATGAGGGGGGCAGAAGGGCTGATGTGTGGTGTGAGAGGAGTTGTCCTGTGAGAGGCAGCGTGGCTGGCATGGGCCATGGCTGCATGGGACAAGTGTTGTGCAAGTGTGGAGGCATGGGAAGGGCTGAAAGTGTAGGAGTGAATTCCAGCAGCAGTAGGGTGCAACTGTAAGAGGTTTTCAGGTGGTGAAAAGGGGAGGTGACAAAACTGCACCAAGGGTAATTTGGAGACAAGTAGGTAAGAAGAAAAAAGGTATGTTGAAGCTAGAGCAAAATGCATTTGTGGTGGCCTGAACAGCAAACTGCTACGTGTTTTAGTAGTGGCAGCGAGGGAGAAGGTGATGGAATTAAGCAGTAGGAAAACAAGAACATGTGAAGACAGGATGGATGTGGTGACTAATGGGAAGTGCTGGAGATGATGATAGGAGCCTGTCCTTTGTGAAATAACTGTTTCTGAAGCCAGGTCTGGTAACTATCCAGCCTTAAAAAAGGTGTAGCTTATTATTCTCCTGTGAAAGTTACTTTCTCTAGTAATACAGAGTTTAACCCTCTTTTTGGATTGCTTGGGATTTCCAAATGAGTAATTTAATTGTTTGGCCAGATACAAGCTAGCTGCCAGTTTGCCTTCTTTCTGTAAAGTCTTTGCTTAAAGTACAAGCAATTTCTTCTTATGGAGAGTTGTAAGGACCAGGTCATGAAAAACTTGCTTTTCATCATATACACGTAAGCTTTCCATTCCATCTTTTCCCCTCTTACTTTTTTCCTTCACCTATTATAAGACAAGGAGTTGTGAAATTCTCCCTCATGTCTGTACATTATGCAGTGTGATCAGCTTAAGATGTTTCCCTTTCCTTACTGAGTCTAAATTACTTTTTTGAAAAAAGGAGAAGTATAAGCCAATGGCTATAATTAGAGCTTTTTTTTTTTTTTTTTCCCCCAAGAGTGGGCTTATGAAATGAACAATATTGCCACAGAATATCTCCTTTATTTCACCTAGTCAGTGCAAAGAAAATGTGAAAACTGACTGGCTTTGTAGTCCCTCAGCCTTAGGGGTCCAGAAGTTGTAAAGGTGGTTTGGGAGTTGTGACCACATGTGTCCGTGTGAAGAAATTCTGCTGTGCTCCTGTGCACCAGGCTGCTGTCAGCTAAGCACCCACTGCAGCAGTGTGTGGAGTGTCTTCAGGGACTTAACCCGTTCTTATCTCCCCAAAACAGCCATCCGTAGTATTACTTAACAGACAAAAAGGGCTATTGACAACTAACATAAAAAGGTGTAAAAAAAAAAAAAAAAAAAGACAAATTAACAATAATAGTACATTCTGGATATAACAGTGCAAAATCCAGAGAGAAACAGGAGAAGCCACTTGGCAGTCATAATTAACACTTCAGGATACTAAAAGGAGATGTGTTACCAGTTTCTGGGAATGACAGGCATGTTTGCTCTGTCTGGACTCCTAATGTTGTATACATCTAGGAACAATCCTATCTAAGGAAGATTTTGTGCCTGAAACTAGCCTTTGCCTCTTCCCCCCCTGGTTCAATAGACCCGCCTGTATTTAAGAGGAAAACAAATGCAGGATTTGCATTGTTATGAGTGACGAGAAAGATGTCCTTGGGGAAGGCAGGCAAAGATGTGATGTTGTGTGGTGCAGCAAGAGTCTCGTTGCAGTAAAGTGTGTGTTTGCTGTATAATGAACAGCGGAAGGAGGCAAATGCTTGTCAGGATGGTCAGGGGCCTAACTGTGGTTTTTCAGCCATGGAAATTTCTGTGCTACCATGTCATGCTTTGGTGCAGGTTTTTACCAGACTTGTTTGTGGAGCCAACGGAGTCAGAGCTGTGGTAACTTTTGAATAAGAGGCAGGGCAGGCATCGTTTGGACGTGTGAATGGCTGAGAAGTTCTTCTGCAGCGCATTTTCCAGAAAACACCATTGCTGCCAGGTGTTGGGGCAATTCTAGCTTATTTAGAACAAGTGTGGCAGCCAGGGATGGTGGTAGAGCACACTGTCCTCCTCTTTGAGGAAATGCAACTTCATCTCAGTTTCCTCCCTCAAACATGTCAGACATTTGTTATTGTTTGCTGCTTCTCAGATCCCTTTCCTGTTCTTTTTTTGAAGCTATTGTATGACAGATTTTTCTTGGCTGGTTGCTTTCTATTTACTATAAAGAAACCCACAGGCTGATATCTGGGAACTAGTATTCGTTCAAACCAGCATAGTCAGTTGTAGAATTACATCAGTGCTTTTGTTTTGTAAACTGAGTCCAAGATCACTTCAAGCATTTTTGAATTTTTCATTTTTTTTTAACACAAAGCACGCTTTTGTTATAGCGAAATACTTGGGTTCACTTACTCTCTTATTCTAATTAACTTATTTTAAAATAAAAGATCAGTTATATTTGTGTGGGTCGGGATGAAAGAATTTAGTTGAAAGACGTAAGTTAAAAGGCAGTTTTTAAAATCACCTTTGCTTGTGCAGGCAGAAAACCAGTGGTATTTTCTAAATGGAAGTAGAAAACTACAGATTTGTCAATTGAATCACAGCCTCTGTGTAGTAGATTTGAAAAGGTTATAGTAAACTTGCATCTGAAGTATGTGACAATGGGTTTGTTGGAGATGAGAAATTTACTGGATGTTTCTGAAAGCACTTTCATTTTTCAGGGACAGGTGACTATATGTGCAAAATTTGACAAAGACATTTACCTCCCAGAGGACGCAGAGTTTTACTTCGTTTATGATGGATCCCTGAAGAGGCACATAATGTTTGCTGAGCGAATTAGTGACGATGCTCTTCAGTCCATTGTTCCAGGTGAGCATTAACTCCTGTTTACATTTTTCATCTCTTCGCTATACCCCACCCCCATTTATAAGCTGGGCAGAACTGGACAATTTGGTGTAACTCTGTTTTGTGGCTCTGTAATGGAGGAAATGCAGGAATTGAATGATGGCTTTAGGATCCAGGCTGAGTTTCACTTACCATAGGTGATCCTGCCTTTTGTAGCAATCCACACCAGCACAGTATCAGGTGTAGACAGTGTTACTGGGCTTGCATTAAAGTGCAGTCTTCAGGGATGGCATAATTTTTAGTATTGATTAATTCTATGCCACAACTGTTTGCCTCTGGGCATCCTAACACCTGCAAAAGTGACGATTTTATGTGAGCCTTCCCTGGGTGCAGCAGTCAGCCTGGCTTGCAAGCCCCCGTGGTGGAGGTGTGCGATGCCTGGAACTCTGCTGGAGCTGTATACAGTGCAGAGGTGTCAGGCAAACCATCCCATGGGTGGCTCACTGCAAATGGGGGATTTGTGTCCCCTCACAGTTGGTTCTCTGCCTTGGCATTGTCCCGCTCATGGGTGTAACATAAACCCTGCTCGTCACCTTTATTGTGTGCTTTGTGACCTTTTAATTTGTGTGAGTAGGTGGCTATAGACATGATGTACCTGTGCAGTGTGATCCTCTTGTTATTTTCTAAAGGAGATTTAGAGTATGAAAATAACTGTTGAATATAAAAAGGGAAAGTTTGCTGCCGTTACATGGTGATTCCTTTGATCCTGTAAGTGGTAAATAATGATTGCCATGGATTACAATGGGGAAAATATTATACTTCCAGGATAGCAAAGTCTTTTTTTTTTTTTTTTTTTTTTTTTTGTGAAGCCTGGAGTGACATTATTAAGTGATTGCTTCTGGGCTAGGAATAAAAACAGGAGGCTACAGGCCACGCTTAATCCTCTGCCTGTTCACAACAGGAGCCATGAACAGATGTAAATAAAGTGTGGGGTTAAAATACAGCCCTGATGTTTTTAGTACTGTTTTGTAGTGGCCAATATAAGGGAATACAGAGCACTTTAAAAACAACTGCAGATGCAGTAAGTGCATGCTTCCTTCTGCAGTTATTAGATTGCATATATCGTTGTAGTTATTCAGGGATATTTTGAAAAATTTAAATTTGCACCCATGTCATGGTTAGCTCTCCAGTGAGAGGAACAGCTTGCACCTTTTTTCGGTATATGACATCCACCTTCACTTAGATGGCAAGGGAGGATGAAGAATGCACAAAGTGTTTTAAGAGGTTTGAGAGACAAACCCTTTTGGACTTGAAGAGTTCCAAGTGTTAGAGAGTTGATACAGCATTTAATCAAGTCTGCCAAAAGCATGAAGTATGCATTAGTTAAAAGCTTCTGGGTTTTTGCCTACATGGAGACACTAGATAGGTACAAAATGGATATTAATAAATAGATATATCACTCAGAGTTTGTGTTGCAGGCTACTCTGCCACTCTTGTCGTGAGCATCTCATTTTTCTTAGTTCTTACCAAAGAACCTTCAAGCTTTTGATTTGTGGGATTTCATCCCGATGTGGTTACCTCTTCTTTCCATTGTGGTTAAAGAACCTTCACCTAGAAAGACTGGTTCTAGAATTAGTTATGTTGGTACAAGTGGGAGGACTGGCAGTTCACAATCTATTTGAATCCAAGTTGATCACGAGAAATGGGTGGTGGATGCCCTATGTGTAATAGGGGTAATTAGACGGAAGAGTAAAATAGTTCTAGGTGCGTAACCACAGCTCTTAGAGGAGGCAGGGGGAAATGAGGAAAAACTAATGTGATTTCTGAACATAGGTAATGTTAGTGAATAATTTGCATTATAATTACAGGCCATGGATGCCAAGAAACAGTTTCTGTTTCCGTGTTAATGTACACAAGGGGATACTCACCGGTGATCCTCGGCAGCTGTCCCATCACTTACAGAGAGAATCTGTCTTGCAAGTTGTCTCACTTTCTGGTTGATCATGCAGAATGTGTTACTGCTGCTAGTCACAAGATGTTGCTGGATAAGTTTGGGCTAAGGATAAAAGATCTGCAGTCCCTGGATAATGACTTGATGATGGCTGTTGCTCATGAAGAATTGCCGTTGACCTGGAACATCCTTGGAAGCTGCTCAGAAGGTGGTAAAATTTTATTTTAAGTTGGAAAGCTTTTAAGAGTGGTTTGGTACACTGTTCAGAGCAGAGTATCTCACCATTTTGTCCCAGGTTCTCAAGCCTTGTGCTTCATTTTGTGAGTGAGATGAAAAATTGTTCAGGTATGAGAGGGGTAATCAGGGATTTGGTTGGTGCCCAAAGGTTTAAAAAAAGATAATGATGGTTACTGTAACTCAGTCTCTCCAGAAGTTTTTTGTGCCTTGACTCACTGTGAATGCAGTTCATTTATAAATAGACTCTGCGTTTAGAAGATTAAAGAGCTGTCTGTTTAAAAAAAGCAAGAATTGTAGCAGTGAAGTATTGCTGGCATGATTCCAATGAAGTGAGATAGTTTAATTATGCAGACAATAATGAGACTGTCATAAAACAGAAGAATGTGTTACTGTAGGAATTCTGATGTACAGAGTAAACATAATTTTTATCACGGTTCCGTCAGTGTTTATGCTGTATTTATATCTATGATCATTCTTTGGGGAGAATAAAATTAAACAAGTTTTGTGGGTTTTTTTCCTATTGTAGCAGAATTGGGATGAAAATATACATGAAACTTTACGTTAGGATATGCTCTTGAAAAATTTTGTAACAAAATCAGGTGAAATTTTCCTGGTTTCAGGTTTCGTTGCAAAGAGAAAACTTTAGTTAGGTTTTTCTTGAAGAGTATAATTTTTTTTGCAGACCCAGCTGATTTACAGCTGAGGTTGGAAACAGTGTTGATGGCTTCACATGTTTTTCATTGAAAATTTGGTACTTTTGGCTATTTTCCTCTTAGTACTTTAAATTGCTAAAAATTGGAGGACAGGCAGTTTCCGTATGAGCCAAACTGAAAGACAGATTCATGCAAGCTTTTGGTAAGTGAAAACACAACAGTTAGCCCATTACTTTGGTGAGGGCTTTTTTCCTGTCTTAAATCTTTCTAATTATTAATGACAGATAGCTTGAAATCTGCTACTGCCTTCCTCAGGAAAAGGATGGATTTTGTCCGTTTGTTGTATACAGCTCTTTGAAGAAATGTGAAAACAAATACCTAGAGTCATTCAAATATTGGCTAGACAGGAGAGAAAATAATAAAAAAAAGCTGTTACTTGATTCATTTGGGTGTGTAGTAAATATTTGCTCACATTACTCAACTGCTGGAATGGCAGTTGAATCTTAGCAGAGCAGACCTTGGTTCAAAGTCTGAAGAAATCAGCTGTAGTTTTGTTCACAGACCTGAATAAACTTTTCATCAAAACCAGTTGAAGCCTGACCCAGAAGCATCGTCAGGGTACCACCAATGCTGAGAGATCCTTGGGCAAAGCCAACTGGGCTTTTGTCCCCAAAGCCAAGAGGCCAAGCACAGCTGATGGTTGCATGTGGCTGAGGGAGCCCTGTGCATGCAGGGGAAGGAAAGGAAGGGGATGGACTGGGGCGGGAGGGCTTCAGATCTCAGCACAGATGAGAAGAGGAGGAGAAAGTTCTTCGTCTTCCATCACTTCCACTCTATTTCTTCCCCATGCTCTGAAAGATCAGAATGGATGAGAAACAGGGAATTTATGAGGATTTATAAAGAGGTTAAATCCTTCTTTCCCTACCTGCTCTCCCTGCAACTCCTTGCCCCAGAGGTCTGATGGTGTCTTGATACTTGACAGTATTGGGGTGTTCTTTTTAGTAGTGGTGTTGTGAAAGATGTGGGTCCTATCATCCATCACTAGTTATAACCTCATCCTTGTGAGATCCTGTCAGTTTTCAGAGCTGCTGGGCTATTTTTATTGGAAAAAATTTACTTTTGAGTGACACATTGCTGTAGAAAATTATTGCACCATATGGTGCTTTTGGACCTCATTCTTTTTTATGAGGATTTAGAGACATACGTGTTGATGGAAAGATAGAAGAATAATTTATTCATAGGAGTTTTGGTATTTGGAAAAAGTGTTTGTATTCCCTTTATAAGGTATAAAAAGCATTGGATAAAGAGAGAGCCTGGATTGTCTAGAGAGCATTGCAAATAATTCAGGAATTTAGTGCAATTGCACAGGTCAGGACTTGTTAGCCACGTTATTTTGAGTTTAACAAAACAAACAAGAAAGCATGAACCTTTTGATAATCCTCACTCATAACAAGCCATGTCAGAAGCTGCTCACTCACACAGACTGGTCAGATGTTGAGATCACTTGGCCTGTAAGCAGTTTGCTGCTAGTGGAAACTGGGAACCCAATAGGGGTGCTGTGCTTAGACTCTTACTTGTTGGTGGGTTTGAAGAAGGGGGAAGGAGTGGTAGGGAGGAGGAGGAGGGATAAGCTGTTTTTCTTGTTGATTGCACCTTCATAAAGGGTATTTTCCTTCTGAAAATTGGATTATTCAATTTATGGAGATAATCAGTATTAAATATTAAGCCAAGTAATTTGTTAGAGCTGCTAAAAAAAAAATAAAAGAATCTTCCCACAGTTTTTCGGTTTACCAAAAAAAAAGAAGAAAGAAAGATGGGGTGGTTTAATCTGGATGAGAAAAATGCTTCCAAGTAACCTTTCCTCTCTTAGTGCCGTCAGGTTAGGGCAGTCTTTTAGGACTGGCGGCACCCCGAGGACCATCAAACATAGATTCAGCATCTTCACTGCAACTTTTTTCTTCTTGACACACAGGCTTACGTCTCTTGGGTGTTGGAGGGAGAGCAGGAGCACAGGTGTGTGGACCTTGCAAGGGGTCTGCCTTACATACAGGAGGCCGAGGGTGTCTGTTTCGGGTTGTTTTAAGGGCATTGCTGGGAGAGTGAGTTCAGGTTGTCTGGGTAGCTTAACTGTGCTGGTAATAAAACAAGAACAGTTGTTGACAGCTTTGCCACTATTTACAGTTATTTTCAAGAGGAAGAGTGCTCTTTTAGGTTTAAGGCTATTAGTAGAAGCAATTAAATTACAGCCTGAATTATGAAAATTAGGTGTGGATCATAGGGAAGGAAACAGTGTCTATACTTACTTAGTTACCTGTTGTGAAGGAGAATTTTTGTTTTGTTTCATAAATGCTTCATAATTGTTTTCTAGGAATAGATCTTCTGGAGTGAACTGAAGTACCAAACCTCGCTGCTTTATAGTTTGCCTTTGGGGAACATTCTTCCATTTTCTGTGTAATTTTTTACTTTATTGCACTCTCCCTGCCCTTTTCTTTGTAAATCCTGTTACTCGTTTAATGTGTTAAACATATTCCTGCTAAACCACACCAGTTCAAACCTGGCTGATGCGTGTTGTGTTTTTGATCTAAATTAAAGAAAATTCTGTCTGTGTCTTTTCCTCAGATGGAATTTTAGATTTCTTTATTCCTGTGGGAGGAAAGGGAGAGGGGGCCAGAGTGCCTGTTCTCCATGGAATTAGGAAAACACTGGGAAGAGTGGATAAATATTTCTAGGTGTGGTGAGAGTTGTGAGGAAAGGTAACATTTTTTTTTTGTCAGACAGTTTAGGGGGTTAGAGAAACAAACAAAGCTTTGGCCCAGTAGGAGTTTGTCCCTTTGGAAGGTGCATGGGTCAGAGGGAGGAGGATGCTAGCCTGGGCAAGCAGAGGAGTGTTTTCCAGTGCCTGCTGCTGACCAAGAAACCTGCAGCATGGGGCAGGATATTGGCAAGCATGCTTCAACCTGCAGGTCCCCAGCAAGTATACGGTCCTCATCATCTGGTCAGTGGTAATAATAGCAGAGAGGAGACATTTGAGATCTCCCTGACCATGAAGGGGCTTTTCGGGAAAAGGCTTAAGCACTTGAAGAAGATGGTGATGTGCAAAGTGACAGTAGAGCAAGTACTGGAAGAGATACAACAGATTTAAGTTTCCTATTTAAGGCAGTATATAAGCAGTGGGGCTCAGGAGCCTGCTCTGCTGCTGGAGAGACCAGGTATGAAGTTATGGTCTGACCCTGACCCCAATCGTGAGTTGGCACAGGGCTGGAGAGCCCTTCTTGGTTTCTGGCTGAGAATGTCACTGCCTGGTGTTAAGAACTCTGGTGGCATTCAGTAAACAAGTGTCGTAAACCAAACTGCTCAAGAGGGTGCTTGTTTGCAGTACAAAAGAATGAGGAAGATCCCTCCACTAACAGAAACCGTCTCTTGTAGTGTTTTGCGTGTTTGTTGGGGTCACCCGAACAGTAAAGTCAACTGAGACTTCACCTGACGGTGTAGGTGGTGGCACCACGCGCAGCCTTTACTGCATGGGGCTGGTGGATAGGAGCCTTCTCTTACCCTTCTGCTGCTAAAACTGCTGGGGCAAGACTCCTTAAAGTCCACCTTTGCGATGGAGCTTAACCTTCCCCCATCTCCCCCTTTTCTTCTGCAGCGTTGATGCCAGCCTCTGGGTGTTAGTTGATAAAGTTACGATGAATAGGGAAATTATATAAAGAAAAGGGTGATGTTCAAGATATTTGGTAAGTGGAAAGGGGAGGTGTCACCACAGCTCTGGCCTCAGTTGGGCTGCCACGTACCTGACCTCATCCATCACAGCCACTGTCTATTCACAAAACCACTTGTGTGTTTTTGCAGCAGCGGGAGGCACCGAAGATGGCTTTACAAACAATCTCATACCTAACAGAGAAATGAAAAAATGAACAGTAATGCATAAAAGTACGAAGCCAGGAAAAACTGGAATTTGTCAGCCAGTTTTGATGTCTCCCCCTGCTTTTCACAGGGGTGAGTCACAAGTTTTGAGGTTTTTAGTCTCCTTTCAGGAAATGAATGAAATTCATAGACCAGAAAGGGCTTAGTCATTTCTGTCAGAGAAATATTTGTTTTTAGTTTATTGTTTTGGACATAGGAAAGGATTCAGGTGCAAGGAAGAACAAAAGGATTTATTTGATGTTTAAAACAGACTGTGTTTGGCTCAGCTCTGTGTAAGTCAAACAGAGTGTTTTGGCTGGAGAATTGGGATGCAATGCAAAACAACATCATGGTAATGCGTATCTTTTACAGCACCTCCTGCCTTGCAGTAGCTGACCCTGTATGAATCAGCCAG